AGTGCTCACTAGGTAGGAGGACATAAAGTTCCTTACTGTATGCAAGCCCACAGCATATGTTTTGAGTTGTTTTGTTCACAGACTTTGGTTTACTTGATGTCATTGCATTAACACAAGACTCATGCTGCTTGTTCTTTCTTGAGATTTCAGATTCTGTCTTGTCTGTGAGAATGTTATTGTGTTTAATCAGTTATTCTTAATAATGATCAACTAGGTCATTTTAGCCCAATTACTGTTCTGCTTGACCTGTTTCCAATAATCTTTAAATTTTCCGAATTGAAATTTAGTATAATTTCCATTTATATTATTTTAATACCTATGAATTCTTCAGGCTTAAAGGGGTTGTGTCTCTTCATGAGACACAATAATTATATATAGTCAATTAGTGAACTTGTTCTTTTTGGATATTTGTTAGAAATTAGTACTATTATAGTTGTATAGTGTGAAATACACTAGTGGTCTGGAGCAAGAATAATGGAGAGACCATTGACGATTGCATCTGTGCTTCATAACTTATTTTGAAGTTATTTGACATTGCATTACTTTATTGGTGAGGGAGGTCCTTCTGTCTGTGTGTTGCTTTTATAGATTAATGAATAAAGAACTGCTTTGAGCCTATGGCAGGGAAGCACAGAACTAGGTGGGGAAAGCTAGTCTGTATGCTGGGAGAAAGAAGGGCAGAATTAGAGAGACGTCATGTAGTCCTGCCAGAGACAGATAATGGAACTTTATCTGGTAAGCCACAGTCACGTGTCCATACAAAGATTAATAGAAATGGGTTAAATTAATCTGTAAGAGTTAGCCAATAAGAAGCTAGAGCTAATGGGAAAAGCAGTGATTTAATTAAAGCAGTTTCTGTGTGATTATTTTGGTTCTATGCTAGCAGTGCAGCTGGGAAACAACAAGTGGCCCTCCTCCTACACTTCATGTTTTCTCTTTTGTAAAAATACTAGTAATATTAATAAGTATCTTTTTTTATTAGACAATGCATACATTTGAAGGATTTAGAAAACTGGCTGTGTATTGCAAAGCTTCTCTAACAGTCTTTGTTCTTTCATTCTTGGCTCCTGAGAACATTAAATGATGCAATATAAAATACTTAATCTAGTTCCTGGCAAGTAAAAATGAGCTGTTTTTAATATTTCTGCTATTCTAAGACTTGATCATTTTTTTTTTTTTTACTGTAGTGGCTGTTTCCCACAGATGCTGTTCCCAAAGCTTCCCTAATCTTAGTAATCAAAACCAAAGTCTACCCAGAAATCCTGGTTAACCACCGCTGCCAAAATTAAAATCTTCATTACATCTATATCTCCATCATTCACTGATTGGTAACTTAGCCCACTGCTTCCCTTTTCCAAAGACATATAAGTAACTTTCCTCTTTTATTGATTGTAAGGCTTTTACTATTTAAAGGTAAACATACATTCTGCAAACTCATATTTTGTAATGCACTAAGAAGTAAGAGCTGGCTATTTCACACATGACACCTTACTGAAAGCTTAGCAACACAACTTCCTTCCAAGGCTTCTGGGAAAAAAGTCTTTAATTAATCCCCTCAAATGAAGTTTCCATACTTGTCAAATGCTTTTTGATCCATTTTTTAGAAACAATGATGTGATTTTTTTTTTGGTAGACTACCTTTACTCATGATTAACTACTTCTGAACAAAAGGACTTCACTAATCAACTAGATGTAGAAGCCTAAAACACACACACATTCTCTCTCTTCCTACCCCTTTTCTACATAAAAAATATATGTGACGTGTGATTCCCCTCTGTATACTGTGAATACCATTGGTTAATAAAGACACTGTTTTGTGATGTGGGAGTCCCCTCCCTGTGCTGTGAATACCATTAATGCATAAAGAATTTCACTTGGCCTGTTGATAGGGCAGAATTTAGGTAGGAGGGAAAAAATAAATGAAATGCTGGAAGAAGGCAGAGTCAGGGAAATGCCATGGATCCACCACTGGAGAAAGACGTGGTAAAATTTTGCTGGTAGCCCACAACCTCGTGGTGATACACAGATTAATGGAGATGGGTTAAATTAAGATGTAATTGTTAGCTAATAAAAAGTTAAAGCTAATAGCCAAATAGTATATTAATTAATATAGTTTCTGTGTGATTATTTCAGTTATGGGTGGCCGGGACAAACAAGCAGCCTCCCAGCAACAGCTCTGAGCCAACAGCAGAGCAAGGCAGAACAGAGCTAGGCAGGGAAAACTAAAATAAATGCTGGGAGAAAGAAGGCAGAGTCAGGGAGAAACCATGTAGCCCTGCTGGAGACGGACTCTGGGACTTTACCCAATAAGTTACAGCTTTGTAGTGATACACAGATTAATCGACATAGGTTAATTTAAGATGCGATTTAGCCAGATATATGCTTAAGGTATTGGCCAAACAGTATTGCAAATAATATGGTTTTTGTGTGATTATTTTGGGGCCGAGCAACCAGAATCAAACAAGAAGTCACCTACTACATATATGTATATATATATATATATATATACACATATTTCTATATAATGCATAGATATTAGAATAATATATATATATATATACATACATACACACATATGCACTTCTAAGCAAACTAATTTTCTAATCACCTTGTGATCCAGCACGCTGCCTGATTCTACTCACTAATGATACTTAATTCATTCATTAATAAGAGCAATTCCTGATAATAAGAATAAAAAGTCAAGTTTAATCCACTTAAAATGATGTGCCTGATAACTGGAAGTGAGCATATTAGCCCTCTTCCAGGTACAAAACCTCTGGGAGCTTGCTGTTTGTCTTGGATCTCAGCCTACTTTTTCACTAACAGGATTTATTGTAAGCATCAAAAGACAATTTTCTTATATTAAATGATGGTATTATTGGAAATAATGATAAAAGCAAGGCCAATTTTAATGAGTGTAAGGAAGTCATGTAAAGGAAGTTTATCAACAGAAGAGACAGATTTTTTTTTTCCCCAAAAGCAAACCCTGTGTTTAAACAGGAACCCAATCATCACTTGTGTGGTTACAGCTCCTTATTCACTCCCAGGCATTTAGAGAAGAATGAAGGACTTCAAGTATGAGTACCAGACTGCCTGCATGCTAAATGGGTACTTTCAAGACAGCATTCAGTTCATCAGTAACGAAAATGTCTTCTCTTATAAAAGTCCATCTGTGAGTCTCACAGGATTTGGAAATAAATGATAATAAATGACTTTTTATCCTACATATTTTTACAATCAAAAAGCAAGCTTCCCATTTTAACGCTGAGAAAGTGTCTTCATCAGAAAACACTTTTCTGCTGCTTATTTTATTGAACTTAGGTTTTCTCCCATTAAAAATCTGGATTTTAAATATTTATTATTTCAGTGTATACTTGATCTGAGGCTGTGAATTCCATTTAAAGATGAAAAGGAAAAAGTATAAGAAGCAAAAGCAGATGAAGGCAGGGAGCGTATGGACTCTAGAGACAGTCCTCGTCACTGTGCTTAGATACCATCCCACCAGCGTTTCAGGCTTGGGGAAGCCAATTCTTTTCAATATTGTTTTTGTTTCTTTTATTCATGTCAGTGTCTTAGTTCTTACTCTGTGACCCCTGAGTAACGTGAGTTAGGCAACAGAAATACTTGTTTCCGTCTTGGCAACAAAAAGCGTCTTTCTGGAGAGCTCACAGACTTTGCCTGCAGTTTGCCCATTGAGTTCAAGGGGATTATTCTGGCAGCCAAAAAGCCAAGCTACTTTGATTATTTGGGGCCAAATATCCCCCTTCCTGACCAGCCCCAGGGGGCTGTCCCTTATTGCCTGCCAGATTTTTGCCAACCTGCTGCTTCTCTGCTCTGTGGCTTTTGCTCTCCAGCCTACTTGTCTGTCACAGCTCTCTCTTAAAATGCAGCTCGATGATGAGAAGAAAGGATTACTTTAAATGTTTGTTTGTTTTTCACGCTTATTTACTTATTTGCCAAGAAAAACATTCTTTGATAAAAATGGAAAAACAAGACCCAGAGAGCAACATTTTAGAATCTTCAAATGAAACACATTTTTAAATGAATTCTTCACTCTGGGGTTATTTATCCTCCTTAGGTCATCTCCAGCTCTGGTCACTTCTCTCCCCACTTATAAAAAAGAGGGGAGAATGGTATGCAAAGAGCTTTAGCTTCAGATAGAAAAGGAAGAGCTTCGGGAAATTATTTAAATGAAGGCAGTACTTTCACTTAATGAGTTTATGTATCACAATGAATGTTTCCAAACCAAACTGTTTCCTCCGCAGGTCACAGTGCATTCTGGAAAACGGTGTGCTGCAGTGGACGACTGAAATATTGCTTCATACTAGCTTCAGTTTTTGTAAAACTTCATGCCGAATCAAACATGCAGAGGATATAGTCTACTTTAATCATGTCTTATGGATAAACCATTAAGTTAATAGTAAGGTCAAAACAAGTGTCTAAGCAAGTTTGTCAGATTTCTTTTAGTCAGTAGATAAAAAGAGGTTATCTTTTATCAGTGCTCTAAGATCTGCCAATGGTTTCATCACCATCATCACCTCAGAATTACGAATTTTTTAAAGGATTGTACTCTCTTTTTAACTTCTTATTACTTGAAAATTCAAGCTATATTGTATTTAGGCTACTTAAAAAGACTTTCAGATTGAGTGATACATACTAATTTATTTACTTTTTACTTACTTATTTTTGAAACAAGGTTTAGATAGGTAGCCCAAGATGGCTTTGACCTTTCCATCCTTTCTTTAGCCTAGCAAGTGCTGGGACAACTGGTGTATGTTGTGCACTCCAATTGGTATTTATATTTACATTTTACCTCAAAGGTATCTAGTACAATGCTGAAGAGCATTTAAAATAGTTCTGTTTGTTTGCTACTGTGAGGTGTATTCGAAATCAGAAAACCACAAATGATCAGTAAGTTCTTTAAATAATTTTAGGATTTAATGAAGGTGCTTCTCACGCAAACATCAACTTCTGGAACACTTCAGATCACAGACACTTACCATATTCACTGTCATAGAAGATGATGAATTTCTGCCATGCATACTCGGTGACTACCCTCAGGATGACTTCGTTCAAGTAGACAGGTGGACGAACTGAAAGAGTATAGTCATCATTCCTGTTGCTCCGGGTGAGCCCACAGCCACTCCTTGGGGTCCCAGCTGTTGAGCGCTGAATGAAGAGGTGTGGGATATGCATGGCATCTGCCAAAGACTGGAGGGATCCGGCTGATGTGCAACCAATGGAGCTGACTAGGGCCAAGATGCCCTGGTTCATAAGTTCACAGGCTGCAAGAGAGCACAGCGATGCCAGGGTCAGTGGGGTCTGTATGATTTCTCCTCTCAGAGAAGCAATGGTTTGCAGAGTTACTGAAATGTACATTTTTTTACATGCATGATGTATGAAAAGAATCCTTGAATTACAAAGTGCTCCTGGAATCCAGTTCAAGAATTCTGCTTCCAACAGCTCTGTGGTGCTGTTCAAGATTCTCTTGGTTCAATTTGGCCATCGCTAAAAGGGTAAAATAGCATCGATCTAGAGGGATTATTGTGAGGATTAGAAATAAACCAGTGTCTATCATCTGTCTCTCATGGTAGATATTCAATCAGTTGTAGCTAAACTTGTGTAATTATCACTTCATGATTCAGAAGAATAGCTGCCTAATACATGATACACATTTTTAGAAAGTAGCTAATGTGGAAATGGTGAGTGATAAGATAGACCGTGTTGCAAGTAGAAACTTTTGGCCATCATGAGTCCCCAAATCCGATGACATTTTCTCTCTCAATAAACTAGAACAATGAAATGGTTTTCTTTTTCTTAAGCTAAAGTAGTATTTAAAATTTTTATTTGGCTTATCTAGTATAAGAAGAGTGCTCTCTAATGTATACACAGATAGACTCAAATAAATCACTGTAATCAATACAAGTGTCCAAAAAAACAGAGCTTCATAGACTGAAACCACAGAAGTTACACAGTTCTAACTTTCAAACTAAAACTTCAGTTTATGTATTATATTTTTCATGTATGGACTATAAGGAATCTGTCAGTTTTAGTCTTTAGAAAAATAAATTGGCAAAGTTACATGTTAATCATGCTCAGCTGGAAAATTGGTTACTGAATGTTATTGGATAAAGGATTTATTTCATCTTATGCTTCTATATCACAATCCAGTCGTGACGAAAGTCAGGCAGGACCGGGAGCCAGGATTAAAGCAGAAGTCATGGAAAACATGCCAGCTGGCTTGCTCCCCATGGCTTGCTCAGCCTTCTTTCTTCTTCTTCTTTTTTAATCTATTTTTTTATTTAAATGTTTTTCTTGTATTTTAATCATGTTCTTTCCTCTCTCCCAATTTCTCACAGGTCTGCTTTACCTCATCACACATCCAACTTTATGTTCTCTCTCAAAAAACAAAGCAAAATAAAAAATATAAATCAAAACAATTAAACAAAAAACACAGTGAGATGAAAATATCAAAATAAAACACATAAAATCATGGAGTACATTTTGCATTGACCTGTGAATTGTTATGCCATCCTTTATGTGTTCTTTGATTTCTGTGGTGATAAAATATTCTGAAAATATCTATTGCATTTGAAGAGACTAGAACTTTTTCTGAGCCCTAGTCACTTAAGAATTAAGTGACTAAGTGACTAGTCCACTGTGTACCCAAACTCTTTGTTTACTCTGCCTTTAAGAGAACAATGTAATAATTAGATTTACTTGCCTGAATTTCCTATGTAATAAACTTTTAGAACTCAAGCCAAAACACAGCTACAATCTTAAGTTATATACACTTCATGCCCTGACCAGATAATGCATGTACTGAAGTCAAAAGCAACGTTGTAAACTGTTTATAGATATTGGTTGATAAACAATAATGTTTATCATTGATGTTATCTCAGTCATTTGGAGCCGTAGACTTAATGGAGTGCAGTCCTTTACAGAAATCTTTAACAGAGATGTACAAGTGTCCCATTTCTTTCCCATGTTATTCTTTCTATGCTCTTCAATAAATATATAGTGAACAACTTTGTTAGAGAAAACACAGACCGTCAAACCATTCAGACAGACAGACACCACGCACACAGACACATGCCATGCAGCACCTACAGAACTAGACACACACAGCTCATACAACAAACACACATTGAGCTAGATACACAAGCACAGAAAAAAAAAGATTCACAGGACAGTAGGTAAGCAGGCAAAGTTTAGTCTCATGTGACAGAGACAAAGATATGGGGGAGAGGAACTAGAGAATTCACATCCAGACTTGCTCTTGGCTAAATGACTTCAAGAAGAAACTTCTGTATTTCTTTCCTTAATATGATACTGAGGTTGTTTCCAGGTTCTGGCTATTACAAACAATGCTGCTATGAACATAGTTGAGCATATACTTTTGTTGTATGATAGGGCCTCTCTTGGGTATATTCCCAGGAGTGGTATTGCTGGATCCAGGGGTAGGTTGATCCCGAATTTCCTGAGAAACCACCACACTGCTTTCCAGAGTGGTTGCACAAGTTTGCATTCCCACCAGCAATGGATGAGTGTACCCCTTTCTCCACAACCTCTGCAGCAAAGGCTATCATTGGTGTTTTTTATTTTAGCCATTCTGACTCACCAAGGCCAGCTGGCCTGGTTCTGAAACAGCATGGGATAAAACCGGACTTGCTGAACATAGCGGACAATGAGGACTACTGAGAACACAAGAACAATGGCAGTGGGTTTTTTAACCTACTGCACGTACTGGCTTTGGGGGAGCCTAGGCAGTTTGGATGCTCACCTTACTAGACCTGGATGGAGGTGGGTGGTCCTTGGGCTTCCCACAGGTCAGGGAACCCTGATTGCTCTTCGAGCAGATGAGGGAGGGGGACTTGATCGGGGGAGGGGGAGGGAAATGGAAGGTGGTGGCGGGGAGGAGGCAGAAATCCTTAATAAATAAATAAATTTAAAAAAAAACAAAAAAATATGATACTGAAGTACTACTGGTAAACCAGACTGAGTCACTAACACATTATAATCCACACAGTTTTGAAATAATATGCATGTATCTGAGGTGAGTCTCATTCTGCTATATAGCAGAAGACGACTTTTAACTTCTTATCTTCCTGCTTATATTATATGCTGATATTATATCTATGTGCTGCTACACGTAGACTCCATTTAATTATTATTTTATTATCTTCCTATATGTAACATATAGGTGATTTATATATTATTTTAAGGTTACTGTTTCATATAATCACCCTATTGCAAATATTAGCAATGGTAATTGAAATATTTACACATGATGAAAACAGGAATCATCAAACAATGATTAGAAAACAAAAACATCATGTTGAAATTGTAATTTAGCAACCATGCAGTCCAAGAGTGGACAGCAATTATACCTGCTCTGTTATTCCTTGCTGATGAGATGACATCCTAGGATAGCATTTTGAAAAAACATTTTGAGACTTATTAACACACACACACACACACACACACACACATTATTTTGTGATGTTTTAGACATTGAGAGACAGGAGAGATACAGCCTGTAAATAATGGATGTTTTTTCTTCTTACAAAATTTCCAACTTCATATAGTATACAGTTTTAAAATAATAATTGCGTGCACCCCCTCTAAGCGTGTGGGGGGAATAAATGTAGAAGATTCATATTCTAAACATTGGCTCAAGATTCTTTCTACCCTCCATCACAGAGAGTAGCCAAGAGAATTTTTCATTTGCTACTTCAAAATTTTATGTGACTAAGAACAGACAGAGTTCTCCATAGGGAAATCCTTTGTAGAGTCTATTGTCAGGGCTCAGTATTAGAGGTCCGTCTGATTTGCCTTGATGCTGATTTAAAAAAAAAAAAAAAAAAAAAAAAAAAAAAAAACAATGACCAAAAGGGACTCGGAAAATTTATTTAGCTTGCAGATTACAGTCCATCATCATAGGACACCAAGGCAGGAACTCAAGGACTGAAGCAGAGACCACAGAGAAGCACCGCTTACTGGCTTGCACTGCCTGACTTCCTCAACGTACTTCCTTATACCACCCAGCACCGGGAGCCTGGGAGTGGCATCTCCTTCTGTGTGTTTGGGCCCTCCCAAACCAATTAATAAATGTTATTCAGATATGTCCTAGTTCAATCTGATGAAAGCAATTCCTGAATTGTCATATTCTCTTCCTTGGCAACTCTAATTTATGTCAAGTTGACAACAACCAGCCAGCACAGAGGTTATCTCATTAAAGATAGAAGAAAAAGATCAGTGTGGAACTGGTTGACCCCAAACACACTTTCATCCAGGTAAAGACTGTGTCTCTGGAGAAACCCACCATTGACTCTTTGAGTCTGTACTGTGAAACTGATTAACAATGGAAAATGTTAGTTGAAACAGAGAGAAAACTAATTGATCTGTCTTGAATTTAGTCTGTTTGTCCTAGATGAAGGCTACTGTAAGGAGCATAACTTGTGATGTCTGAGGAGAAATTATAAACATATAGGGTTGTATGGGGAACACAGACAGCTCGTATCTGGCAGAAAAAATTCCAATCTTGGCAGTTAAAACACTGGATCATTTAGTTCTGTTTCCACAGAATGTAATTATCAGCCCATGATGGAAAGGGTGGGAAGTGGATTGATAAGATAAGAGGGGCCTCTGTGTTTCTTCCAAGGATATTTCAGTGGTATATTCTTTCCACTAATATCTCAGGCTGTGTGATGTATATGAACATGTCCACATACCCTCCACATCAATCTGCCCAGACCATATGTAGCAGCCTGCTGGTTTGTAACTCCATCTGTTTGAGATGTACATCAAAGATGTTTGGAGCATGCTCTAATTGCTAAAAGAGCACATCTTTAAAAATTATTTTTATAGCAGAATTTGTAATCAGCAACACTTTAGCACTTTTGGATATTAAGCAGTTATGGAAATGAAGCTGGCTGTGTAATTCTACAATTCACGATAAATGATGTTCATATATACTACCGTTACTATTTCTAAAGCTATGAACCTTGAGTCTTCTTTTCTTATTGGGTAAGATAATGTTTACATAAGATGTATGAAGCATGTAGAAATTTGATCCCCAATGCAGTATTGTTGGAGGTGGGGCCTAATGGGATCCATTAGTGTCATGGGGTACTATCTTAAGAGATGTCTGAAAGTTGAAAATGGGTCCTTGTAAAAGAATGGGTTTGCTGCCTCTGGCCTCTCTCTTATTCTCCTTCTTTCTCTTTATCCTTTTTCTATCAGATGATGAGTTAGGATGACCTTCTTCCATATCAGTGTCTTC